GGGGGGGGGGGGGGGGGGGTGGAGCTGTAATCTTTTTCCATTTATCATTTGCTAATATCGTAACTTATTGGCTTCGTTTTGTTTCGGTTGAATATTTCCTACAGCGCGATTAACAGTAGCAACGATGAGGCCGATATTTGTTGGGAACTTCGGGTATGACACCCGGCAATCTGAACTGGAGCGGTTATTCGCCAAATATGGGAGAGTTGAAAGGATCGACATGAAGTCTGGTATATTGCAATTTCTCTGTACTAGTTTGCATGCCATTTTTAACTTAGATATTATAAATTTGGTCATAACTCGTGTAGATTTTATTGTATGAAGGATCCATTTTTGTGGTCAGCTTCGAACGATTGCTTATGTTGAATATTGCTCCTCAATTCTTTTTGTATTACTATTGGTGGAATGAATGGGTTGCGATGCTTGCTTATTTATTATTATTTTTTGGACCTGTATATTTCGTCACCTAGTTTTGACATGCAAGGTAAAAGATGTATTGATATGATCGTGTACAGTTTGGTTAGGTACATGCGCAATGGATGGTGCTTTTGGATTATGTGTGCATGTTTCAACATAAATTCTTCACTGTTCCCAAATTTCCATCCTCCTTTTGTAGCGTGTTGAGTTTGGTAGGCTCACAAGTGTCTGTATGCATGTATTGATGGATGACTCTTTGGTGTAGATTTTACTTAGTATTGTCAAGTAGAATTCCTACTTTTCAGCTTCCTAGTTGGATAATTTTTTTTTTTTTTTTTTTTTGTTACTCGTGGACTTTTGTACTTCAATTCCATCATTCGAATCATCTTTCAGCTTCCTAGTTTGAATTGACGTTTTTCTTCTGGAAAAGTTCCTTGGCCCTCACCCACCTTGCCTGACATCCTTAATCCTACAAAATTATAATGATTTATAGATTTTGGGTATACCGGTTTATTGAATTATGGTATTTTAGTGCGAGGCCGCCCTACTGATAATAATACTAGGTATGAAAGTAATGTAATGTTTTTATTAATAATACTAAAATTGATGTTTTTTAAATTATAAAACCAGTTTGTGACATGGATCCATAGCTATTATGCTATGATAATATCCATTGGTCCTTTTTTTTTTTTTTTTTTTATGAAAACTTGATGGCAGGCACAAATTTACTATTTTTATGGGGGAAACCTCCATATAAGATGTTTCTTTTGACGCAGGAATTTCTTCTAAGGAAAATGAGCCAAGCTCCTATCTGGGCTCACCACCATCTGTGCATAAAATTTATTTTGGAAGGAAACTTCCTGCTTGCCTGCTTAGCTTCACCTACAGATAGCATCATCCTGATTTTTCTTCAATCAATCATTCGTCATTCATCTACCTCATCACTTAAGTTGCAATACAACAGAATCGTCTTAATGGATTGATCTTTATCTCATGCCTCATCAATTAAGTTGCAATTCACCAGAATCGTGTTAATGGATTGACTATATCTCTTGCCTTTGCCTACCTATCACCACTGATCATAGGACTTCACTGAATTCTGGTCATGCCTTCCATATGATATTAGTGGCTGAATGAAATCTGTCATGCCATGCCTTCCATTTCTGAACTCGTGCTGTGTGAAAGGCGAAGCATAGTTGAAATTTTGGATTTAAACCTTTAGTATGCAACCATCTTAGTTCATCATGCAACGTCTCTACAGCTATATGTGCATCAGTCCTCCCATATTTGCAGGTGTTGTATTTTTATAGTTTATCCCAGGGAAAGAAACGACGAGGCTGGGTGACAATACCTGCTAAATGGATAAGGCTTCAACGTCTTACCATGTTTTATACATCTAATTGTTTGTATTTGTCAGGTTTTGCATTCGTTTACTTTGAAGAAGAGAGGGATGCTGAAGATTCTATTCGTAGCCTTGACAACATGCCATTTGGTTATGATAGACGCAGATTGTCTGTGGAATGGGCTAGGGTAGTCCTCTCTCCTCCCTCGGTCCCTTCTTTTTGGGTTTATGCATTTTAGAAGCTGGTTTATTCATTTTCTGAAGATATTCATATCTGCCAGCAATAGGTGATTTTAACATTAGCTTTTGGTTTGGTTGGGTTAGGGTGAACGAGGTCGCAGTCGTGATGGATCCAAGTCGATGGCAAATCAGAGGCCAACCAAAACCTTGTTTGTGATCAATTTCGACCCGATTCGTACTAGAGTTCGTGATATTGAAAGACACTTCGAACCTTATGGAAAGGTGCTCAATGTTCGCATTAGAAGGAACTTTGCATTTGTACAATTTGAGACGCAGGAGGAGGCAACCAAGGCCCTTGAGTGTACCCACATGAGGTAAGCTGAGTTTTGAGTCTCCTGCATGCATGCTTGCTCTTTTTATTTGGTGTATTTATTATCTTTACTATCTAAATGGCGTAAAATATTTTATTGTTCTTCGTAATTTTGCAGCAAAATATTAGATAGGGTTGTATCAGTGGAGTATGCTTTGAGGGATGACGGTGAGAGGGGTGACCATTATGACGATAGCCCTCGAAGAGCAGCTTATGGGCGGCTTGGGGATAGTCCTTATCGGAGGTCACCTAGTCCTGTGTATCACCGTCGACCAAGTCCTGACTACGGACGAGCTCGCAGCCCTGCTTATGACAGGTATAATGGCCCTTATGAACGACGTAGGAGCCCTGATTATGGCAGGAATCGGAGCCCTGATTATGGCAGGAATCGGAGCCCTGAAGTTGGCAGGAATCGGAGCCCTGAAGTTGGCAGGAATCGGAGCCCTGATTATGGCAGGAATCGGAGCCCTGATTATGGCAGGAATCGGAGCCCTGATTATGGCAGCAATCGGAGCCCTGACTATGGCAGGAATCGGAGCCCTGAAGTTGGCAGGAATCGGAGCCCTGAAGTTGGCAGGAATCGGAGCCCTGAAGTTGGCAGGAATCGGAGCCCTGAATATGGTAGTGTTCGCAGGTAATCTTTATTCTTTGATATTTGGCACAGCCAGCCTCTATTTTGAGTTACCATAGCCTTGTAATTCTAGCTAAGCACTCCTTTTGTCATGCCTTTGTTGACAGTCGTTCACCCATTCGGAGGTCAAGAACCTAAAGGAAATCAGACCCGACCCATTTGGAGGTCATGAACCTGAGGGAAATCTAATTTATAATTTTCCGTAGTTACATTCATAGGTTTAGGTCTGGAGTGTTAAGGGATAGTGAGGAGTTTCTGTACAACCCTGGTGTTGAGTATTTGAACTAATGTTGGTAGATTTGGTATAATGAAGAAACCGTGGTTTTGATATATTTTTTGAAGCCTGTCGTCTTTGTGTTAACAATTGTTTACTTGGGAACTATCCAGCATGCTTGAGGTAAGTAAAGACGTTGGAACAGGTTGATATAACAAAATGGCAGATTACGGCAATCTTGTGTAATTCTCCGGATTTAACGTTACATGAGATGAGAGGTTTTAGGTGCATTAGGGCATCGTTGGCCAAATTTAGTTCCATGGATGATGGTGAAGTTTTGATTGTGTAATGGGTCTCGTAAGATGGTATATCCAGATTGTGAGATAGTCGCTGTCTACAATTTGGTAGTGAAGCTGCTTGAAATCAGCGAAGTTTATGGTATGTGATAGGGGTGGTGAGTAAATGGAGAAGGTTGAAAATGGAAGTTAGTAGAGAATTCAAGGCTTGAATGATTATTTGATAAAGAAAGAAGGTAACAGGAATTGAGGAGTTATGTTACAGAGAAAGGAGAAAGAGTTGTGGGAAATGAAATGAAATGAAATGAAATTAGCAACATTCGTTGGTGATCTTGAACTTCTCCAAAACCACTTTGCCTTCTTTGTACCTCTGAGTTTCATCATAAGCCTTGATGTATTTCCATCCCAACATTTGGCCACACTCCGAACAAAACAAATCAGAAACTATGTATGTTCCGCTGAGTAACATCTTCTCCTGTTGAGGCCCCTCTTCCACATTCCTTGCTTCGTAGAACAAGAACGCTCTTCCCCTCAGCGACTGCACCAACACCACAAATTATTCCTATGAATAACAAAATCAAAACCCAAACATCTTTGTTGTTACCTGAAACCCCTTCGAAATAATGTCATCATGTCGTGATACTTCATTACTGCAATTCTGGCAACTGTACAGCCGCGCCCCGATCATCAAATCCGCCATTATTGATGATGATGATGATAATAATAATAATAATAATAATAATAATGATCCTCTTCTGCACCTTCGAAACCAATCACTCTGAAAGGTATGTAAAGTTGTTCCTTTTAAAGGATGAATTTGCCAAATGCTGGCGATCATTCAGGGATTTTCTTAACAATAACAATATTCTCTTTTTTCTTTTTCTTTTTCTTTTTTTAAATAAAAGATGATGACGCATATTCATTATATGTTACTCAATTTTATAAAACTCGTGTTCATAAATATGATTTACAATGAAAACTTGTTGCTTTAAAATATTGTTCATATCAAATCAAACAGCTTTGAATTTATATAAATATATATATATTATGATATCTTCTCTGCTTCCTTGCAGATATGAGTGGATAAAAGGTTCACGACAAGTAATCCCTTTATTTTATTTTCCCCAAACACTAAATACAGTTTTGAATATCTAAGAAAACGACATTTCGAGATTAAACCTGTCATCAATGACTAATACGACTGCATAAATGCCTATGGCCCCCCTGTTATTTACTAAACATCACGCTAAATTACAAGTTTATTCCCTTATATTTCCAGCCATGAATTCATTGAGAAAAATGTTGAAATCTTGGACACAAATTCAACTTTTATGCGTAATGAAAAGCTGATATTGCCTATAGGCCCTCTTCAGTTATGCATTGATTGAACACAGTTAGAAGTTGGGAAAAAGAATGAGTTGGGTTTAGATAGAATGTGTTGTGCACAGAATTCAACTCCAAAAGTACAAAAAAGAATCCACTTTTGGGACAGCGACTTCTACCAAAACCAGGCGCGCCCACCCTAGGGATTCAACCTTTTAAAGTATATATCATGTTGTCCTGCTCATGCTTTCATCCAGAGGGACACACAGAAACGAACAAAAAAAAAAAAAAAAAAAAAAAAAAAAAAAAAAAAAAAAAAAAAAAAAAAACCAACACACAACCAGAAAAATAAAATGAAGTGTGTGTATGCATGTATGTGCACTCAATGAGTCAGCTTCTTCTTTGCAATCCATCTCTTTCTGGTGGCCTCTACTGCCTCCTCTCTCATTCGAGACAGCTCCTCCACCAGCTGCTGATAATGTCTCTCAATAGCATCAAGTTCCATCTCCAGTTCGGCATCCAGATCCTTGTCCGTTAAGGATAGCGAAGAGCAACTGCTCGTCAAGCTCATCACATTAGCTGCTGCTTCATTTGCCAACGACATCACTGAGTTCTTCACAAAATAATCCATGGGATTCAACTTTCCAACATCTGATGCACCTTGGAGCTCTAGTTCCGCTGCCGACCAGCTCGACCCCTTTGAGCTTCCATCAACAATATTCGAACAATCCATCACCTTAGCACTTTTGGTCGAACAGTCTTTGACCAATAACTCTGATGCGAATGAAGTATGAGAACTCAGGTCCTCAAACTTAGCGAAGCTGGGAGAAGAAGGGCAAGTATCAAAAATTTGACTACCGGGAATATCATCAGCCCAGCCACCATCTCCATTAGATTGCAGACCATCATCCACCCCATTTAACATTGAATCCCATGGAGATGCAATAGATGATTTGGCACTTAAAAGGGTAGGGGGGCCGCCACAAAGACTTAACTCTCCATTTAAGGAATAATCAAACATCGGCTTCCAACCAGGTACCAGTTTTGTTATCAATAAGTCAATAAGTTCAGCTACGAAATCAACATCATGATTTTCCAACTCCAATTGTTCAGCCATTTCAGCTGCCACTGATAGTGCAGTATCAGAATCAAGATAAAACGTAAAATGTATATTCCTCACTCGACCTGCAAGTTAAAGTGTAGTTCATATAGATAATGAGAAAGGAACAAAAACCAATCACATACAAAAAGGGCAAACATTGAGACACAAAGTTGCGCTGACCGTTCGAGTCTGCAATACGCAAGGTTAACACCACCGAGTTGTCGTCGGTTTTATTTCCACGTAACCTAAACTCATTGTTCTTGTTCATAGTCTGGAATTCCATGTCTGGAAACAGTGGACTCCCACTATTGCTTTCAGCACTGGTGGTCATAGAATGTTGTTTGAGGTCAATGTCAATAGGTTCACTCTTTGGCAAATTTATTGATTTAGGAACATGGTTAGGTAACTGTAGGAGATCATGCGTTGATTCCTTGGGGTTCTCAACTTGAAGGAATGAATCTTTAAGCAGCTCTTTTGCAGACAACCTATCTTGCACCGGAACCAAACATTTATTGATGAACTCCTTGGTTTGTGGATCACTCACCTTATCAAGGGAAGCAGGTTTAATACCCTGATTAAGAAGGTCAGCATGGAAACTATTGTCAGCAAAGAAAGCTAATGGGTGACACATGACAATGGAAGTGGGAACTGTTTGGCTTACAGATGTAACTTTCTTGAAGATCTGAGCCGGATTTTTACATTCACTATAAGGATACTCAAACGTAACCATCTCCAGCATGCACATCCCAAAAGCATATACATCAATAAGCTCATTGTACTCCTCTTCATAAAGCTCAGGAGCCATGAACTCAGGAGTTCCTTGCGTAAAGAAACAAGAACTTCAATACATTTTCGCTTCAGTTCTTTTTAGAAACTAAGACAACGAGTGATGCATTAATTTGTTAGCATACCAATCACACTTCGAGCAGTAGGCTGCTTCAAAATAATAGCTAATCCAAGATCTCCAATCTTAACTTCTCCATGATTCCCATTAATAAAAATATTATCACCTTTCAAATCTCTATGAATAATGGGAGGATTGTGACTGTGAAGATAGTCCAGGCCTCGGAGAATCTGTCGCGCCCAATTCTTTATGGCCTTCATATTAACATGTTTGTGCTTCTTACGGTATCTGACGGACAAAAGGAAAGCAAGTAAACTAAACAGAAAATGAAGTTTAAACCATAAAAAGACTAAACACATACTGTCTCAAATTCCCAGATGTGAAGAGCTCAGTAATAATGTTGACTGTTTTCTTCTTATCATCCACCCAAGAATTGTAGAACTTGATAATGTTCTCATGTCTTAATGATTTAAGTAAAAGTACTTCGGAGTACAACTTTTCCAAATCCTCAGGAGACTGCAGGAAACCATCAATCCTTACTTGGTTCCAGGCAACTTCAATGCCATCAATTTCGTCAAATGCCTTGTAACTGAATGGAGGGGGAAACGAAAGTAGAAACTATTAGAAACCAACATGAGCATTCTTCATGTAATCTTCTCTACTAAAGCAAATACGTTCAAAAGAAGTCCAAAAAACAGGAAGAGGAGATAGTGATGAAGTCTTAGAACCATACACTGTCTTGAAAGCGCCCCTTCCCACGATTTCATCGAACTGTTGTCCACAGACGAGGGGAAAAAATGAATACATAGCATAGGTTTAAATAAATAACTTGAGGAAACGAAAGTGCAAACTAGAAGCAGACATAAACTCCATTTGTTCAATTTTAATACAGTTGGGGCACAATTCTTTAGTCCTGAAGTGAAAACTTGCAGGCCAGGGCACATATTGTGGTGTTCTTGGAATTGGTGGAAAAAATTATTGTAACAGGGATGATCTCAGGACAAGCGAATGTTAATGCAGCAGAATGGAAGAAGATCGCGAGTACACACGCATGTGCATCAAGATTCGAAACTAAGGCAGTGAATGGAGGGGGAAAATAAAGAATGATTAAAGCAATAAAATGGATCCGAGCATTCAGTTTTTTACCCGAACGTATCGACCGGTTGGATCCTTCTCGGCAGCAGTATCAAGAGACTCCATACTTCCAACTAACGCACTGATTTGGATGAGCTATGCACTCATTTTTGGTACCAAAAGAGGAGGATTCGATAGGGGGGAAATTGTTAGTGTAAGAAAATAGAGGAATGGTGGTGTTGGGTGAAGCTAGATCGGAGTTGGACGAGGAGGATGGTCGGAAATGGAAAAGGAATTGAATGCCGATTGCAAGCGAAATCGGCACTCCATAAGAAAAGGCAATGGCGATGAATGGTTAGAAGAAGGAGGGCCTGTGTCCATAGTATACCAAAATTTGGGTGTTAAAGCGCAACACAGTTCTGGAACACCATGTTCATGGCCTAAGTACGAACTCCTCTTCCTCCAACCCCAGAAGGAAACAGAGAGAGAGAGAGAGAAATTGGTTGGGAGTTGAAATAGGAAAAAATGAAAAAGGAAAAAGGAAAATGAAAAAGGAATCGGGATTGCGAATAAAAAAGGGATTGATCTGGAATTCTAAAATTTGCGAAATTGAAGCCACAACAAACACTTGTTTGGTTGGAAACAACCCCAAAATAATCTCTCCTTCAAATTCTTCCCAAAAATGAATTCCCTTTCAATCCAACCATTTTTGGAAACAGGATCATACCTCCTCCGCATCTCCTTTGTCACAAAATGTGGCGCATTTTAAATTTCTTTACTACAACTCTCAAATATCTATATATATTTGAGATGAACTCAAACGACATGTTGCTGTCTGCCCTCCTGTCCAAACATCCACACCATCATCCCCCACGACGGAATCAGGCAGCCGGGAACAGGTGTTCTTCTTCTCATACTACATGATGTGGACTGGAACAACTGGTCAAGCTTCCTTCTTCCTCCCTGTCTGCCATCTGTTCCAAGTTGGCAAAATTTTATGGGTGCGGCTTCCATTCCAAATTAATAGCGTGAGGAGAGGATATGCCAATCCCCAGGTCAACGCATTCAATTTCTGGTCAATACAGAAAAGAATTCAATCGATAAAGGGATGATGAGTGAATTTTGTGTGGATGGAAAAGAATATGAATAACAATCTGCGCAAAGCAACCCGAAGAATGGCAAGGAATCCAAACCAATTTTGAAATCCAAATAATAATTATTGTAGCTTCAAGTTCATTTGTTTGGTCGGATTCAGGCCGTGGAAATATTGATTCATCGACAGAAATGGGGTCGAAATAAGACAAGAAGTAGTCGGTGAATGGGTTTGTTGAGCTGATTCTTGCTCTACCCAACCATTGATCGCCACAACACAACCCACCCCACCCATTTGGCTTCTTCCCTACCCTTCATCCCTTTTCCTTCTTTTCTCAAACAAAACCCCCAATTTCAGCCGGCCGTCGTCTCAGCGATTTGGATGAAGAAGTAGACTGAGTAAGCAGAGGAGCAAATGGGTTTGATCAGTAATCGAGTAGAGAGAAGCGCAATCAAACCAGGCGACCACATTTACACTTACAGAGCTGTTTTCGCCTACTCCCATCATGGTACTTCTCCTTACATTTCTTCCCCTCCTTTTGAACTTTTTGATTCCGTGCAAGGAAAAACGATCTGGGTTTCACTGCTCTTCTCATTTCTGTATCTGGGCTTCTTTCGATCTGTGCTCCCTTGCGCTTCATAATGCATTTCTGGGAATATATACATATATCATAGGAGACCCCATTCCAAGATTTGCTTTATTGTGCTCTGGATGCAGGAATCTTTGTAGGGGGAAGCAAGGTGGTGCATTTTAGGCCTCAGAGAAACTTGAATTCAAGCACCGACACACCTCCTGAGTTCTATGATTCAAGTTCAAGCAATCCATCATCCTGTCCAATCTTCCCTGACTGTGGGTTTAGACAGCCAAACAGCGGGGTAGTCCTTTCTTGTCTGGACTGCTTCCTGAGGAATGGATCCCTCTACTGCTTTGAGTATGGAGTCACCCCGTCAGTTTTCCTCTCCAGGGTAAGGGGTGGGACATGCACCACGGCAACATCCGACTCATTTGATATGGTCATTCACCGAGCCATGTATCTTCTTCAAAATGGATTTGGTAACTACAATGTGTTCCAAAACAACTGTGAGGACTTTGCTCTGTACTGCAAAACGGGTGTTCTGATAGAGGACAGGCTTGGGGTTGGAATAAGTGGCCAAGCTTCTTCTGTCGTAGGTGCTCCATTAGCTGCCATTCTTTCCTCTCCTCTGAAGTTACTTATGCCAAGCCCTGTAGGCATGGCTGTGATGACTGCTGGAATGTACAGCATGAGTAGATACGCCACTGACATTGGTGTTCGAACTGATGTGGTCAAGGTGGCCGTGGAACACTTGCCACTTCTTAATCTCAAGTCATTGAGCACAGAAGAAGAAGATGAAGATGATGAAGAAGAAGATGAAGATGATGAAGAAGAAGATGAAGATGATGAAGAAGAAGAAGATGAAGATGATGAAGAAGAAGCCTCCACCTAGAAATGCTGGAGGCCAGGTGACATCAACTCCATTTTCTGGTCCATGCAGCAACAGATCACACGAGTACATTTATAGTGGTTTGTTTTGTCTATTCCTATTTTACTTATTAAACTAAGTTTGGATGACTAGTTTCGGGTTCTTAATTACAATATATTTCACTTTACTTGTAATGTAAAATTTTAAAAAAACACTTATCCGTCTTTGAAACTCTATGATATGTTCTTCTAAAGGGTAGTATTTTGATGTCAACAAGTCAAACCAACTCGATCTTGATTGGATAGAAGAATAACGGCGGATTGAACATGACAGGACAATCGAGAAGGGAAGCATGACATCGATATTAAATTGAACAAAGGAACTCAAATCAAACGGATGCAAGAAACCAAATAAGAGATAGAATTCTAGATTGAAAGATAACGGAGTTACAATGAAACATATACCATTCATACAGGCACACAAGAAAGTCAGTGAAAGATTGACAAATGAGAAAATTATGATTACTATTTAACTCATTTTCATAAAAATTAACTTTAAATAATTAAATTTAAAAATGACTAAATTTAAGATCTTAAAAAATGTTGGTTTTCATTCACTCCTTGTTTCCCAACTCCTAAACAAATCCACACTTAAATTCTTTAATTTCAAGCGTAAGCTGTTCACAAGTTGCAGCCTTTCTCTCCATAACAACCAAATAGGTAAGTTTGAAGATAAATTCAATCATTTCTTCATCCATTAGGAACCAAGTGTCTCCTCTTGAATTGTTCGTTAAATTTATTTTTAATTGGTTTGATTGAACGATACAACTTTAATTAATATCTAAGATGCGTCTAACTGTGTCTCTAATCAATAAACAGGAAATGAATTGGGCTAAAATTGACACCAAGGTTGAAGATTGTACGGAATAAATCATGTAATTACTCAAGACCTAAAATTTATTTGTTTAGTTGGGGCGGTGGATAAGTGTCGTTATAATGCTTTCTAAATATCATCAGAGCTTGGTTACCAATTTTGAGCACTGGTTTTCGATCATTCATCCAACCCCACGAAGAAACCATACCTAAAATCTATCTGGGTTTCCTTTGTAATATTCGAACTACTTAGCACGCGATCGAACGCTGCAATCTGTTTTGCAAATCGGATCATTTTTCTCAGTCAAATCCGAAGGGGAGGTTGGATTTTTCCCATCAGCAGTGTTTCGGGACAAAATCAGAATCTGGGTCGATGGCTAGTCTCTATGTGAAGGCTGTACCTCCGGCGGATCTGAACAGGAACACAGAATGGTTTCTGTATCCTGGTGTTTGGACCACCTATATTCTCATTCTCTTCTTCGTTTGGCTTCTCGTCCTCTCTGTATTTGGCTGCTCTCCTGGCATGGCCTGGACCATCGTCAACCTATCCCATTTTGCTGTATGTGCATCTATATTTCTTCTCTTGTTGATTTTTTTTTTTTTAATCTGGGTTTTGTTTCATTCCTGGGATATCATCATTGAACTTGGGATTGTTGTTGACTTGTGCTATTAATTTTTGGGTCATCCTGCGGCATGGTTTCAGTGTTTGTGTATTGTTTTATGCTGCTTTAGTTCCCTTCAATTTAATCTTGTTGAGGATGCTGGGTGAGATTTCATTTGGTTGATTTTGTCTAGACAAAAGAAAAACAGCCAACTGTTGTGGCTTCGTGTTTACGCTTGCTTTGATAATTATATGCCTATTGAACTGCCATGTATGGTAGATAAATATTCTATTTTCTTTGATTTCATAACATTTTTCCGTGATTGTTTTATTTCAAGCCTCGAGCCATTGATACTCTTTGGCTATTGTTTTGAAAAGACATCTCATTTTATATGCAAGTGTGGATCTTTCTGGATTAAGAGTCAGTGAACTCTGTTTACTATTGGCCTGGACATACCCGCTTCAATGCGTGGTTCACTCTCCTTTCTAGAGAGCCAGCTATGAGCTTAGAATGACTTAGAACATTCATTTGCTCCATTCTTTGAAGTGATATGCTCTCTGTCTTTGCATAAAATGATGGAAAGGAGCGTGTCTTATTTCAGGTCACTTACCACTTTTTCCATTGGAAGAAAGGGACACCCTTTGCTGAAGACCAAGGGATGTACAACCGATTGACGTGGTGGGAGCAGATTGATAATGGAAAGCAGCTTACTCGCAACAGAAAGTTCTTGACTGTTGTTCCCGTGGTGCTGTAAGTTGTTTATTATATCAAGCGACCTATGTACTATTTAACTCTGAGATCACATTTCAAACTGTTTTTGTTTGAGTTGTTTATTGTTGTCTATTTTACTGAACTCCTAAATTTGGGTGGGCTGTAGGACGTCTTGCTCTTAGTCTGCATATCTTTCTATGTTCTATTCTACATTGCTGCATTTTTTTTTTTTTTTCAGTATTCATCTTCGTAGCTCTTCTGATGATTGATTGTAGAACTCTATTGACTAAATAGCCTCTTGTATGGAACTAAAAATCTCTAGGCTTGCGATTCTAGGGATAAGCTTACAAATTTTCTAGTTGACGCTGATCTTAACAGGCTTTGAATGAATTTTCTATTATGAGATTTGCTTTAATAATTTTCTATTAGGAAACATTCACATGGCTACTTCTACTAATTTTCTTAGAAGAAGTGGCTAATTGGTCCTCCGAAGCGATTACGCACGTTAGATCTAGCAATTTCATAGTGGGAAAGGGGGACAATGTCTTATTTTGGACTGATTGATTGCACTCTATAACAGACGTTTCCTAATCTGTTTAGATGATCTTTGGGTCAAGACAAAATGGTGTAAGAAATGTGGAATGGCTGAAGTTGGGATCTTAGATTTCTAAGTGGCTGTTTTAATTGAGAGTTGGAGGAATGGTTCAACCTTTTTATGCTTCAGGATCAAGTTTCCGCCCCAAAATGGTGTAAGAAAGTGCTCAGCTGAGGCTTTTTTGTAATTACTCCAGACTCCATCATTCTAAACTGAACATCTTTTTGATCTCCTTCTTTAGGGAAAAGGGGCTAGGTTTTGTTTGGCTGTGGTCTTTTGAATGATCTTCATTTCTAATAAAACAAATAAAACAAATAAAAAATCCTGATTCCCTGTATTCGTATCTTTCATCTGTAGCTTTTTTCTATTACTCTGTGATAAGATGATGGCTGGTGCAACAAAGTTTGAGTACTTCGTCATTTGCTGTGAGATCCCACATCGATAGGAGAAGAGAGGAACGAGTGCCAGCGAGGACGCTGGCCCCAAAGGGGGGGTACATTGGTTGGAGAGGGGAACGAAACAATTCTTTATAAGGGTGTGGAAATCTCTCCCTAGCAGACGCATTTTAAAAACCTTGAGGGGAAACCCGAAAGGGAAAGTCCAAAGAGGACAATATTTGTTAGCGGCGGGCTTGCGCTATTACATTTGCAAATTTTTATATTTTCTTTAGAGGAGGTAGCAGGGTTCTCTTCGGTTGAAAACCAAACTGGGTCAATAAAGCTGAACCAAGCAAAGTGGATTATGCTCCGTTTTTTTTGGTTTGGTCTTTTAATAGTTTTGTTTATAAATATAACATGTGGGGTTGAGATTCGACCTTTTAACCTTTTGATGGAGGGTATGTGTCTAAACGAGTTAGCTAAGCTTAAGTTGACCGTATTTTAACACTACTTGTCTTGAGCTTGGCCTTCATCTGTTACACAGCCTTATTTTTTGATGTTGATTGATCTACCCTGGTTAGATCCATAAAAGTTCAGTTTTTTACCAAAAATAAAAAATTATATTATACTGGTTCCATTCGAGTAACTTGTATTATTTTTTAGATGTTATGCTTGAAGTTGCTTCAGATGCATGATGCCTCTTTTGTACTGTTTTGATATTGCTAAAGGCATACACAGACGGTTTGCTGCAATTTTTCGACCAACTGTTTGTTAAGAGGGTGTGGTAAGGACAATCTGATGTTTGTCATAATTCCAATTTATAGTGTGCTGGGTGTAGGTTATATTAAGTATACACCCATGTTCTTTAATTCTTTCAGTGCCTGTTGCCAACTATACTTGATGAGTTATCACAGAAGGATTCGCCGGACTCCCACTCCATTTGAGTCTTGACTCTTCTTTTTCCCTTTCTTTAGCACTGACACCTTTGTTTTCTTTCCATCTTTTGCTTGTTCCTTCATCTTCTCAACCTTTGGTTCCTTATCTTGAACCACATCTTCACTCTCCTTACTCTTGCTTGCTCTCGTCTTTGCTGGCTGCTCGCTCTTTGAATAGTTGATAATTCTTTTGTTCCTCTCTAACCTTAACTCCCAAGGAACTGTACAGTAAACCATTAGGTGGCACTACCTCAGCACTGTTTTAAAAATTGTGGCCATAGAAACATTAGAACATAAACAAGGGCCTGTAGAGCGGAAAGAAGTTATGTCCACTGGTTCACTCAAAGGATCAAGAGAAACCATCAGGGTCTTCGGAGTTGTTCTTACAAAGACCATACCAACTAGGATTAGCTAAGACATAGGGTCCGATCTTCGACATGAGCGTTAATACCGCCCAAATTCAGTGACCATATAACAAGTTAGCACCTTTTAGAAGTAAAAAATTTCCATAGGATCTTGCTATATGGAGGCTACAGATCAAAACTCATGTCAGGAAATAGGGAGATTTCAATCTTTTTTTCTTCAGTACTTTTAATATGTTCATGCTGAGTATGCTTTTTTATTTGAATGGTTGGGTGAACAAGTGTATGCTTACATTCCTCAGTGCAATCAGCTTTAAGCTATTACACATAATCATCAAAAAGAAAACTTCCCTCAATTTTTCTTCTTGTTGTACAGGTACTTGATAGCCTCACACACAACTGACTATCAACATCCAATGTTATTTCTGAACACTCTTGCAGTAATTGTACTAGTTATTGCCAAGTTTCCCCATATGCACAAGGTACGTATCTTCGGAATCAATGCCGACAAGTGACGCTCACATCAAAACATTTGTGGTTGGGTTTGTCAAAAAGCTTCTCGTCCTCTCAATCTGGTAAAATGTTATATCTTTGTATAGTAGTTGGGACTGGAAAGATGCTGAAAAACTCGTAGTTTTTTTTTTTTTTTTTTTTTTTTTTGTTTTTTTTTGTTTTGTACTGACTGCTTGTTTCGCCTNTGCTTAATGAATAAGTAAATGCAGTTATCTTTTATACAGTACAGAAATGCGATGCATTTGAGTTATCTTTTAATAACATACACTTCATAGTATCTGATAGTTTGCATCGAAATGAAATTGCTCTGTTTCACTCTTTCTTTAGTAAGCACCGATTGGCCCATGCATGGAAAAGCATACATATTGGTTGGTAAAGACTGGAACAGGTAAAGAAAGAGTAAAACATGGGATTTAGTTGAGTAAAAAAGACATTGACCCCTTCATGTTTCTTTGTGTTGTTTCTGGTTTTATGTAAGTGGTATGACCTTTTCTGGCTGATTGACTGGAAGTGGAGAAGTGGAGAAGTGGAGGAGAAGTGGAGGAGAAGTGGAGGAGTTCATCATGAATCAAACTCATTATCTTACTTTACTTCACTTTACTTCTGTCTCACTCATGTTTCCTTTATATTTGGCTATATTTCAGACATCATGAATACAACTTATGATGCACACACGAAACAAGGATTGCTTTCCAAGTCTGCTCTTTTTATTTATTATTATTATTATGGAATATATGGCCCCATCCATTAATAATAATGATAATAAAGGCATTGCCTTTTGTTTTCTTTAATTATGAAATGATGAAACAGATTGGCCCAATAAAATTAGAAACATCTCATAATTACAAATTATGAGCAGCTTCCATGGATAAAACTAAACTTGATTTAAACAAAAATGTTCATCATTATTAAAAAAAAAAATTCATACTTCGATACATAATAATATGATGAAACTGTTGTGTATTTGGTAGAGAAAGAGCTAGAGAAAGCGTGAAGATATATAAAACAGAAAATTGATACATAAAAACTTGTTTGTTAGCTTTTTTAGTACAACACCTTCAAACAAATCAAAACCAAACCCAATCCAAATTCACAAAAGAAAAAAAAAAAAAAAAAAAAAAATATAAATCAGAGTTCAGAAAGCCCAGCTTAACAATTTCATATACTGAAGTGTTTTTTTTTTTTTTTAATGTCACGTGTAAATTACTTCTCATAATTCTTCTGATCTCTCGAATGTTTCTACCATGGCCCTCCACTAAACATCCCATTCCAATACCCATTACTACCAGGATTCTCTTCCACCGCCGTGTCTCGGGCCGGATACGGCATCAAATTCGGTATGTAAAATCCAAATCCTCCGTGCCCGCCGTTTTCTATCCCCGCCGCCGCCGCCGCCGCCGTCGTCGTCGGAAAACCCAAGTTCAGATCATGGGCTTGGTATACCTGCTGCGGCGGCGCGTGGTTGGCCGAAGCTGACCCGGTAACCGAAGCCGGCGGTTTACGATTCTTCCGGGAGCCTCCTCCGACAGGGATGTTCCTAAGAGAACCGCCCTCGGTCCAATACCGGCGGCAAGATTTGCAAAAATACCTCGGCTGTGTGAGGCTGTAGTTATTGTAGTAGCAGAATTTTGTGTTGGTCGACTTGCACCTTGGGCAGTTCAATTGCTCTTGTGGCCTTCCCTTGGCCTTGAAGCCTCCTCCACCGCCGCCTCCGCTGCCGGATTGCATCATGGCCTCCATTTTTGAGAATCTTGGAAGCAGGAGAAAAAACCCAGAAAAGATTGAGAAAGAAAAACAGTAATTTGGAAGGAAAATTGAAGGTTTTTTGGTAAAGCTAATGATGCATATAGTGAAGAATGTAATGCATGCCCAAAAGGAAGAAAGAAAGAAAGAAAGAAAGAAAGAAAGAAGGAAGGAAAGAAATGGGCAGTACTTTAAGCAAGAAAGAATGTTTTAGGTTGTTTTGTTTGCAACCCTTTTGTGTCGGTTTGTTTCATTTTTTTTTTTAAATATATATATATATATGTAAAATTTTGAAAAGTGTGTTTGTTTTGACAAAATTGTACCATCCCACTAAGATCCTCAAAATTGTTTTTTTTTTTTTTTCTTTTTTCTTTTAATTATTTGTATATGCTTTTTGGTCTTATTCTATGAATCTCTCTCTACTCAATTTGGTTTGGTGTGAATTAATTATTTATAATATTTCAAACATTTTCCAAATCTTTTAAAATTGTGTGAATTGTATGTGGTGGGTTTCTCCTTTTTGACCCAAAAAATTCTACTTTATATTTTATTATTATTATTATTATTATTTTATTATTTGTGTTATGGGGGAACGGGGAGTTTGTTAATGAGACTGGTTTCTCAAGCAACTCAGATTGCCCATTAATCTACCACCTAATCCCATTAACCCTCATTCTTATTGGTGTTCAAATATTAATTTCAACCCTGTCTAAATTAACTACTCTTTCTTTCCTTTGCTCCTTTGCATTGAAGCCTGTAGCCCATTTTGTGAGATTCGGAGAGGAGAATCAAGCATTCCTTAAAAAGACTCCTATTATTAGAGTTAGAGTTAAGAGTTAGAGAGAGGTGTATATAATTTAGTTTGATGGGACGTGGGACGGAAGCGGTGGGACCCAAGCAATGCGCGTAGGGATTGAAGACAATCTTTGTGTTTGGTGTTGTTGGGTTATCTTTTCCATGAAAACGACTGGTTTCAGATAGGAAAAAAAACTTCTGCAACTCTTGGGCGTTATCCGATATGTTTCATTTCCTTTACACCCAACAAACAAACCAAAGAGCCTTTCCTATCCTTCTGTTTCTTTGCATATTTCATGCTTCAAACAACTCATTCCAACTTTCATTCCTTTTGTTTCAGCTTCAACAGCATAAGAATTGAGTTACATACACCCTATCTACAGATATAGGGAACCATGATTGTTCAATCAGAGTATCATCTCTACTAACAACCAAAGGGTCGGAGGATTATTTTCAACACATGACTCACTAACTATATCACTTCATTTCAACGTAGCAGCTTGTTGTTATCAACATACCTGCAAATCGAGGTGCAATTGCTAAGGGTTTATCCGCTCTGATTCCCATAATGTCTCCCTTCCAACACATGGAATAGCTTTAAACAACTTCCTTTCTGCACTCTTCAGATTCAAGTAATCGACCTGAGAGCGAAACGCGGTCAAATGTAACATAACGTAAAGTCTATATACATATATATATACTACAAACCTGATCAGGATCCAAGACCAGCAAACAAAATGCATCAACGGGACCTGAACAAGAATCTAGAACAGGTTCCTTGGCTGGCTGTTCGGCAATATAGGGAAGATTTGGACTAGGCCCCAAATACTGCATTCTTGACTTTGGAGAAATGGAGGACCAGGCTTCTGCTCTTTTCTGCATTAATAAATATATAAGATTATACTGAGTTGAATGAAGTGAACAAGAAAGTGAACAAGTTGTAAGTTATAAGAGGAAAGGGTCATGCCCACAACCTTAAATTTTGTAGCATCAAGACATGACGCATCAACAACCTCAATTCTTCCACTGATACGAAATTGCTCCCATGATTCCGTGAAATACCAACTTATCTTGAACAACAAATACATTCCAAGTCCAAAATTTGACTCAAATAGGCACATATTTGCAGTTATGTAAATAAGATAAGCTACATAGACCAGCAAGAACAAATCATTTGTTTTATGAACTGTATTAAGAGGCAGGAAGAGACGAGAATAGTTACCTCAGCAAATGGACAAGTTTTAAGCTCTTCAATCTGCAGAATCAACCAAAAGCGAAAAGTTCATTTGCAGGACAAAACTCAGATGCTTAATATCACAAACCTGACCTAATCCATCGCAGACAAATTCCCAGTACTGAGCATATTTTATAGCTTATCTTATTGTAGCCAAACATATGAATTACATAATTGAAAATCCAGAAACCCAGATAACGATTGCGTCGGAAACCATAGAACAACAAGAAATGGGCGTATGAATTGAGCGATCTAAAGCGAAATATAGAGCTTCATCGTAGAAGAACCTTGCGACTTCTTGAATCCGTGTAAATATGGATCCTATCGGTGCCCTCTTCAAATCCTCTGAAAACAACGGTGCGATTTGATGGCCTTCCATTGGCTCCAATCGTTGCCTGAAGACAAATTCCATTTAAGAAAATAAAACCCGACTGTGAAAAAGGGAAAGGGTAGTTCAAGTTGAAGAGAAATAGAGAGAGGGAAATGTACGAGGTGCAAGAATGTGGAATGCTTGATTTGGGCATTAGATTCCAAAGCACTGAGAAGAAGGGACTTCCATGGCGCCGCTGCCGATCCCATTTCCAAATCGCCCGCTAGTTCGCCTACTGCTGTGCTATGTATTCGCCCCATTTCAGTTCGGTACATCATTGAGAAATAGTAAGCGAAATTCAGTAATTTACTTTTAGCTTTCAATTTTACCACAATCTTTTATCCATACACTAAATTATTAAAATGAACAAATACATTAAATCATTTTTTTTTGGATTGGTCGGCGTGGAATTACGTGTATTCTTGCCCATCTTTGATTTTGTCGTGAGTATAAGAAGGGAGCTTACGGTTTCGCTAAAACTCACACGCCTGCAAACAGGTTAGCCGCTACAAACCACTCTACCAAATGAACACTCTATCAAATGAACATCTATCAAATGAACAAACAAGAAACAACACAAAAATGGATTCTTCCAAACAGAGTCTTGAATGACACGACATCGTTTCAATCCCCCACATTTCACCGTCAATTTCCTTGCTGATTGCTAAGCCGCTCCCTTCAGAAACCGACAGCAAAGAAAACATAAAAAAATCAGCAGAATTTGGACGACTGACACCTCCTTTCTACACTCTCCTCTCCCAGATGCGTCATCTTCTTCCTCTGCCTCTACATTTCTTGAATCTCTGAACGCCTCGCTTTTGACCCACATCCTGTAATTGTTTCAGTTCGATCTCCAAGGTACCCACTTCCTCTATTCCCTTCATTATTTAGTTCCTTGCAATTTCTTACTGGTTTTGGATCATAGGGTTGCTTTCATTCTGCTTTTCAGCTTGTTTATGTTACCTAGCTTCTCTCTGTTGTGTTGGTGAGTTGCTTCATTTCTGGGTCTTCTTTTTTTAGTTTGATTCTCTTGGGACTGCTAATTCCGGATCCCTTTTCTTTGAATATGTAAATATGCGCCTATGATGGTTACTTTCTATTGCAACTATTGTTCACCCTAACAAATGAATATCGATTGGGGTTAATCAATCCTTCACAACTTGCATTTGGGCGTTATTAGGAGGCTTGGGGAGGGTGCTGTTTTCACGTGAACATAAATTTTTATTAGAAATTTAACAAGTTCTGCTTGAATGTTCAAAAGATAGGAGTTTGATGGCAGCAGCAGAAGCAAGGGCTGGTTTTCAGAGGACTGTTAATCGTTGCTTTGTCCAAGAAGATGCCAAAAGAGCTCCCAGATTAGCTTGCTGTCAATCATCATCTTCAACATCATCCAAACAGCTTGATTCTGAACCTGCCAATCCAGCAGCAGATGGGCCAGATCAACCTTCCATAGGATTTATTATGCCTTTTACCAGACCTTCCTCATATTCGAATTTACTTCCCGACTCCAAATGGTGGCTTCAGATGCAATCTAGCTATGGATACCAAAAGATCTTCACCCCAGAAGACATTAACCCTTTAGAGGCTGCCAATGAAACTTCGAAGTCGGGTACTGAAGAATCATGTACATCAAGTGATGTTCATCCACCTGGAGGTAGCAATACTGTCTGTGGAACTGATGATATCAGCAGGTCTTCTCTAGATACCGATCATGGTGGCTCTGCTCTTTGTATAAAGAACTTGGATGGTAGAGGCCCTCAAGATATGAAAGCAGACTTTGAATGTTTAGATAAGGATTCTTTCAACAGCAAAACAGTATCAAAAAATCAAGATGAGTGTTACTTGGATCCAGATTCTCCTTGGATGCAAGAGAGCAAGGCTGAGCCATGGTGGTGGATAACAGATAAAGACGAATTGGCCTATTGGGTTGCACAGAAATCTCTTGATCATATCGAGAATTGCGATCTTCCACCACCTAAAAAAACATGCTTGAACATTAAGACATACCCTAATGCTCAAAAGCAATGCTATGAACATGATACAATATGGGTTTCTTCCTTCGAGTCAGACCACCAAAATTGTGGACTTGAGTTTTGTCCTCTTACCAAAACACGAAGGGACCTGGGTGCATCGATTAAACAAGGGAACGTGCCGCGTGGATCTCTTAAATATTTGAGGTACTATGTAAATTCCTAATTGCTGCATTTCTATGAATTCCTAGGTTGCAACTTACCTCCACGATGGTATGATATTGTCCACTTTGAACATAAGTTCTCATGGTTTTCCTTTTTGTTTCCCCAAAAGGCCTCGTACCAATATAGATGTACTCCTTAACTATAAACTCTTAATTAGCCGATGTGGGACTCCTCTCCCAACAATCCTCAACAATCCTCCCCTCAAACAAAATTTACCATAGATCCTCTCCTAAGGTCTATGGAACCCTCGAATAGCCTCCCCTTAATCAAGGCTCGATTCCTTCTTTGGAGCCCTCGAATAAAATACACCATTTGTTCGAAACTTGAGCCACTTTTGACTACACCTTTGAGGCTCACAACTTCTTTGTTCGACATTTGAGGATTCTATTGACATGGCTAAGTTAAGGGCGAGACTTTGATACCATGTTAGAAATCACGAACCTCCACAATGGTATGATATTGTCCACTTTGAGTATAAGCTCTCATGGCTTTGCTTTTGATTTCTTCATGAGGCCTCATGTCAATGGAGATGTATTCCTTATTTATAAACCCATGATCACCCCCTAATCAGCCGACGTAGCACTCCTCTCCCAACAATCCTCAACCGAATATTCTAGTGGGTTCTTACCAGGTTTTCAAAAGTTAGTATTCTGTCGTGTGAGGATAGAATTATGTACCAGTCTGTGATAAATGGGCATTGCCATTCTTTTAGAATAGTTATCTAGCCAAGTTAATTAGTATAGATGAATGCATAGATTACTCATCCAAAGCAAGGCCTTACTAAGATATAACTGGAACTGCTATGTTGAGTGCAGCTGTACAAATCCCAACAACCTGACAAAAACAATACAAACCTCTGAGGATAATACTAGCAAAGCTGAACTAATGGATGCACTGCTACATTCTCAAACCCGCGCAAGGGAAGCCGAAATTGCAGCAAAGCGAGCTTATGAGGAGAGGGAGCATGTAGTTGAGCTTTTCTTCAGACAAGCATCCCAACTCTTTGCATATAAGCAATGGTTTCAACTGCTGCAGCTGGAAAGGCTGCAGATAAAGAACAAGGATCATGCAATGTCCGCTCTTTTTCCTTTGGTTCTTCCATGGATGTCCTACAAGAATATGGTATCTCAGAAGAGACGGCAGAGATTTTCTAAGCAGAAAAGGGTCGCCGTTGCTTTTGTTCTAGGATTGAGCCTGGTCAGTGCAGGTTTGCTTCTGGGGTGGACTGTAGGGTGGATGCTTCCTTCTTTCTAGGCCTAGTTTGAATGAACTTGTTTTAGAAGAGAAGATCAATTGACAAAGGTATGTGTAACATAGCTTTCCAATATGTGGAATGTTGTTTGTATATACGGGGATTACATTTTAAGGAAGAGAAAGAATTCCATATAACAGATCAAAATCAGTGTTACTCTGATGTTTTCCATTTCTTGAAAATTGTCGAAAACAAATGATCATTCAACGCATAGAAGTCTTAACATTATTTCTGTACAAGAATGTCAAGTATGTAAGATCTCAGCCATTAACTAAACCATCAGTCCTTCATATTACCAACGAGCTACGATGCTCTTTCTTAAGCTTTTTTGCTCTTCCATGGAACGTTGATCTGTTTTAGCCCCTCGCCTATGCTTCCCTGCAATTCCTCAACCAGTATAAGTTTATAAGTTTATTAAGTTTCGTTAACATGTATAAAGCCAGAGAAAAAGAGGGGTGATTCTAAAATTACCCAAAACTCAGTCTTGGCTTTGACAAGACAAGAAGAAAAGCTCCCTTCTTTCTGGGTCTCTGCGACCTTCATCCCTGAACTGCTTCTCTCTGCAACAACTCCATCTTCATTCTCCTTCTCTAAAGAAGAAGGAAATACACTTCCATAGGCAGACCCAACTTCCCCTTTGCGCCCGAAACTCAATTTTCCCAACCAACAAAACCACTCCTCTATGAGCACTCCCCTCTTTCTCAGAACCATGGCTCCAAGCTGAGTTTTATCATATCTGAATGACCCACGACTCTGCTTAGGAAACTGAAAAATACCCTTGTGTGCAGGGATGGGAGGAGGGAGTTTTGAGATTTTGGGATCCAATAGCAACAATCTTGGTGGAAGTTCAAGGCACTTTGTTTGAGTGGCTGAAGAACTGTTGGGGGTTCTGAAGCAGAACCTGGGTTTGCCAGGCTCCTCTTCCCATCGAAATGGGACTGACACTGAGGTGTGGATTGGTGGGGTTAGCATTCCAGAGCGATCTGGAGACTCCATTGCCGCAACTGCAAGCAATGGAAGCTTTGGCACTTTAGAGTTTCGCCATAGCTTTGCTTCACTTCCCATTTCTCCCCCTCTCCGTCCGTCTGTCTGTCTGTCTGTCTGTCTGTCTCTCTCTCTCTCTCTCTCTCTCTCCCTCTCCCTCTCTTCGTTCGTGGACTGACTTGAATTTGCAGTGAAACAGATCTTTCACTGAAATCTAAAAAAATTGCGACTTTTTTGGGTGGCTTTTCATAATGGAATAGACATGTTACAGTTAGAGATTATAGATGCAAATAATTGGAATTATTGCAATTATCCTTCACATTTTTCTTCAATTCCTGTCTGTTTGGTTCATAAAGAAAGGCAGTAAACATTAGAGAGGAGAAAATCTAGTTGGGTATCATAACTAATTTGGCCTATTATTTTTGCATTATTGAGGTTTGGTTGGAGAATTTTCAATTACCATTAGATACTTTTTAGAGAGGGGCTTGTCCATTGTCCATTGTCCATTGTCCATTGCTTGGAAGATGGTTCCAAACAAGTCCTTCCTCTTCCCCCCATCACACACGGCCATTGCAGCATGCACATGACTTCTCAATCTGGCTTTGCTTTTGTCGTCTTCAACACTTGTAAAGCTTTTTCAGCTTCCAAGTACAAAGCCTTAAACTTGTGCAGACTTTATTATCCCCTCAAAATGATTTTGATAACTTTTCTGTTAGATGTTGAACTATGAGATATTTTTGAAAGCTTAGAGAGCCTATAAGATATTATATATACACTTTCTAAAATTTAGAAACGAACGAAGGAAAGTGCAGAGAAAAACATGAAAGTTGTAAACAGTAATCTCTCTACACCAGCCGCAGCCACAATAACCAACTGATGTATAATCTTGCAGCTGAATATCACAGCAATGTGATACAAGTGCTTACATGTGATGTCAAAATGACAAAGGAAAGTTTAAAATAGGAGCAAAAGAAGAGAAGAAAACTCGATGCAATATTACAACTCTTTTAGACCGCAATGAACATCTAAAATTCGCTCGTGAATGCATGCACAAAATGACAGACAGGTAAAGTTGAATACATAAAAGAGGATGAAGGGGATGGAAGTCTTAATCAAAACTTGGTAAACCGGGTTTGATGGCCTCGCCACCAACTGGAAATTGCACAATCTTCCACATCATTACCACAATGGTAGAAGCAAACGATGATTTGAAATTTGAATCGACCACCAAATGGAGCAAACGCCAAGAGATAAATATGATTAATGATCAACTTCTCCACAAAAACCTGTTTCAGTTCAGCACAAAATCCTGAAAGATTGCAGGCGTACACGATTAGATACGAGGTGATGTGAGCACTTCTTTGAGATTAATAACATAAGTTAAAACACATAAAATCGGCGAAATGATGATGCATAAGTAGGCCAGATAAGCATGTTGACTGATTCCATCTTCACCTTCACAACAAAAGGTGTCCATACCATACTCAAAACACCAAAATCCTATAAATCTCGTGAAGTTTGGGCATTAGCCATCAAGACTAAATTAATACCATTTAATAACTAGCCATTTCTTCTTTTCAGGACCTGATAAAATTCTCGTCCAACGGCCAAGTGCAGACCATTGGAATATCTTGAGCAACAAATCAAATCCCAAAAGGATGCTAGAGTGTGCAAAAATATCAAAATCAACAACGGATATAATATAGAAAACGTGATGATGCATTCATAAAGTATTCCCGACTTCAAAGAGCAGAGAATCATAGACCGATCAATATTAAAGAACAAATATGCCATGTACGACCAAATAAATTGCTCAACATTATCTTGCATGGGATGCGAATGAACGGACCAGATTTAAGTAGTATCTATAAGTTCACCTTTTTACATAGATAATTTACATCCATTTAGTTAACACACAAATAGTGTAAAACACAGGCACGATAGCTAAAGCCATTATCAACCTCAACCAACAGGATTTAAATAAAAAATACAAACTTCACACATGAAAAAAAAAAAAAAATTATATCGGAATAATAACTTACTCAAGCTATTGGGAGATTATAAGATCCGCAAAACTGAAGCAATGCAGATTGATTTGTAGGGTCGAGATACTGACTGATGATTTGGGGATACCTCCCAGGAGAAACAGTAGAAAGTTTGGACAAAGATGCTACCAGAAATTGCTTCGGATCCTTTATATCTTTCAAAGGATCATCCTCCTTCTTCCCTGCATTGTACAGACGAACAAAACTTGCAGTATAACCAGCATTTTCAGAAATATCGGGCATCTCTGGCTCCTCATCAACCCTATCCTGTTCGGGTCGAGAAACAAGGGTAACAATGCTGTCCAGCATTTTCCCCCAGTCTTCAATAAATGCAGGATCCAAAAGTGCTGGACACTCACAGATAAGTCTCGTTGAAGCAACTGCAGTTAACTTAAGTTCAATGGCCCCAGTTATCAGTTTAAGATTAGGAATCCAAAACTGTCTCAAGATTTGGATAAAAATGCCGTTCTGAACACTGTTGATGGTATCCAAAAGATTTTTATGACCATTTTTAACAAGAAAAAGGGACATAAATATCAAAAGCGACTTGATGAACTTTACTGATCGTCTACTTTGGAGCTGTCCAAAAAGAACAGCCCAGATGTGGCCAATGTACTGTTGAATCACACTATATTCAAGAGAATCAATAACAGTGTTGAGCACATAAAAGCCTTGCTCTGCAGTGCTTGGAGATGAGACTAGATTACTAAATATTCCAAGAACCTGGCTCAGGCGTCCACCTTGATTAAGTTCATGAGGTGCCTTCTGAAGGAAAGCCTGAAGTAACCGTACAAGAGCTGGGACATTAGACGCTCTTTTCCAAGATTCAGGTGACAATAGGATCTCAAAAATTTGCATGTAGCTTGGTGGAATAGGAGGATTATTCAATTCAACAAGCTGTGCTAACAGTTGAAAAGCATAAGGGAAGAACTCCGTAACATCATTGGCCAGTATCATTTGAAGGCTGGGAAACAGGCTTGCCTCAAAAGCTGATATTAAGGATGGATCCCTTTCACAAGCCCTTCTAATAAGAAGGGCCACAGATTCAAACATATAGTGGTTAAAAACAGGATTTTTGGGGTTTCTACACACATCATTTAAAATAGAAGTCAACCCAGCAATGCATGGTCCTGCAACCTCACGAGGTATGTCAGCAACTCCAAGAACTCTCATTATACACTTCATAATGTATTGGTTTTCCTCAGATTCGGGAAACTTAAAGGCATTAAAGAGTTTAGTCATCATCTCAGGAAAAAATGGAGCAACATCCAGAGAGTTATACCTGGCCATACCTGAATCTTCCTTGACCAGCAACAATTTTTCAATACAAATTGCAGCATAGGAATGAACCACATTTGACTCTGAACCAAGGAACCGAACCAAATCAGGAAACATTTGTAATGCAACAGGTTTTGATATCAGATTACGGAACACAGCAAAGAACTTTAGTGCGCCTGCCTTCAGCATTGGTAGACCATTAACATCTGAATTATTCAATTCTGGAATGATTACTGATGCAAAAAAATTCTGAACATCTACAAGATCGGTAGAAACAGAAGAGCCCCCAGCTTTCTTCGTGGCAAGTGAGACAACCAAATATATCGCACAATCTTTATCTTTCCAATTCAGAGCAGGGTTTAGCCCAAATGAATTTAACAAGTTTTGTATCTGAGAGGATACCATGTCTGTCACCTGCTTTTTGTAATTCACGGCAATTCCTTTAAGAAGTTCGCAAGCTATCCGCCTTCTAGTATCCAGATCACTACCTTCCATATCCCTCCTAATGAACTCAACATAGTTCATTTCAAATAGTTCCTCATCTTCATCCCTCAGCCTTACATTGGGAATTACTATGCTCTTACAAATCTCAGGTATCACTCCCTCGCCTGCAAATAAGGTGTGATGTACACTCGTGCTAACAGTAGTCAAAAACTTCATTGCTGTAACAGCCAGCTGGTCTCGGCTGGATGACTGAGATACGTTCCCTAGTAAGCCCCACACGGCTAGAGCAAAATCGTTCAAGTAACCCTGAAACTCTTCTTCATTTTTTTCCATATAAAGATTAATATTCTCGCAAACAGCAGCACGAAGCTCATCAACTAGAGCAAGCCCGTCAGTGCCACTATT